GCGGCTGTGATTGCAGAGCCATTGGCCATTATCTTTGAAAACTCGTGGCGAACCGGGGAAGTCCCGGATGACTGGAAAAAGGCTAATGTAGTGCCAATCTTTAAAAAAGGGAAGAAGGAGGATCCTGGGAACTACAGGCCAGTCAGCCTCACCTCAGTCCCTGGAAAAATCATGGAGCAGGTCCTCAAAGAATCAATCCTGAAGCACTTGCATGAGAGGAAAGTGATCAGGAACAGCCAGCATGGATTCACCAAGGGAAGGTCATGCCTGACTAATCTAATCGCCTTCTATGATGAGATTACTGGTTCTGTGGATGAAGGGAAAGCAGTGGATGTATTGTTTCTTGACTTTAGCAAAGCTTTTGACACCGTCTCCCACAGTATTCTTGTCAGCAAGTTAAGGAAGTATGGGCTGGATGAATGCACTATAAGGTGGGTAGAAAGCTGGCTAGATTGTCGGGCTCAACGGGTAGTGATCAATGGCTCCATGTCTAGTTGGCAGCCGGTATCAAGTGGAGTGCCCCAAGGGTCGGTCCTGGGGCCGGTTTTGTTCAATATCTTCATAAATGATCTGGAGGATGGTGTGGATTGCACTCTCAGCAAATTTGCGGATGATACTAAACTGGGAGGAGTGGTAGATACGCTGGAGGGGAGGGATAGGATACAGAAGGACCTAGACAAATTGGAGGATTGGGCCAAAAGAAATCTGATGAGGTTCAATAAGGATAAGTGCAGAGTCCTGCACTTAGGACGGAAGAACCCAATGCACCGCTACAGACTAGGGACCGAATGGCTAGGCAGCAGTTCTGCGGAAAAGGACCTAGGGGTGACAGTGGACGAGAAGCTGGATATGAGTCAGCAATGTGCCCTTGTTGCCAAGAAGGCCAATGGCATTTTGGGATGTATAAGTAGGGGCATAGCGAGCAGATCGAGGGACGTGATCGTTCCCCTCTATTCGACATTGGTGAGGCCTCATCTGGAGTACTGTGTCCAGTTTTGGGCCCCACACTACAAGAAGGATGTGGATAAATTGGAGAGAGTCCAGCGAAGGGCAACAAAAATGATTAGGGGTCTAGAACACATGACTTATGAGGAGAGGCTGAGGGAGCTGGGATTGTTTAGCCTGCAGAAGAGAAGAATGAGGGGGGATTTGATAGCTGCTTTCAACTACCTGAAAAGGAGTTCCAAAGAGGATGGCTCTAGACTGTTCTCAATGGTAGCAGATGACAGAACGAGGAGTAATGGTCTCAAGTTGCAGTGGGGGAGGTTTAGATTGGATATTAGGAAAAACTTTTTCACTAGGAGGGTGGTGAAACACTGGAATGCGTTACCTAGGGAGGTGGTAGAATCTCCTTCCTTAGAGGTTTTTAAGGTCAGGCTTGACAAAGCCCTGGCTGGGATGATTTAACTGGGAATTGGTCCTGCTTCGAGCAGGGGGTTGGACTAGATGACCTTCAGGGGTCCCTTCCAACCCTGATATTCTATGATTCTATGATTAAATCGTTGCACCGGACCGGGGGCCCCTTACACCTATGGATCGGCAAGGCTCAACAGAGCAGTGTGATGCTGTTTTCTATCTGAGGCACTCTCCCTCCTGGTCCGTTTTCCAACCCCTTACCACCTCCCCCAACCACTTTTAAAAAAAATCTTCCTGCCTGATGATTTTACTTGGTTTCATCCCCATCTAATTCAGAAATTCAGGGTTTATAGTAAATCTGGAAATATTCAATCCATTTGCCCTAAATGTACATTTATAAAAGAGATACCAGATCTAAACAATGGAATAAAGATTTCAGATGAAGTGAGCTGTAGCTCACGAAAGCTTATGCTCAAATAAATTTGAGTCTCTAAGGTGCCACAAGTACTCCTTTTCTTTTTGCGGATACAGACTAACACAGCTGCTACTCTGAAACCAGTTTAATGATGAATCTTTTCAATTCTCCATGGTGAATAAATCTGATCTCCTAAAAACCTATCCAAGAAGAATTATTATTGCTGGTTATGATTCACCAAATTACTGAGACTGTGTTAGTATGCAACAGTCAGTTGTCTTTTCTAATAATATTCAGGTGGGTTTTTTTTAGTTATTTTCGTTAAATGAGTTGAAATAAATGTTAAGCTGATTTACATTGCTGATGTAGCTATTGGGCAATGGAGTTCACACAATACTCAAGTGTGGACAAAAAAACTAGGGGGTAAAGTTTAGACAGAACTGTTCTGCCAATGAACACTTATCTGCAAATGATCCCGTTATGTTAGAATAAGGTTAAACTATTTGTATACCTTTCTTATGTATCTACTATAGACTTGTTCTTTAGACACTAGCCTTCTTCCCCTTTTGTTGTCGTGAATAGTGCAGAAAGCATTCCCTCCCTTAATATGAGACTATTTCTTCTTTATAAAGTTAGAGGGAAATCAGCTATCCCCCACATGGGTGTTTTGGAGAGGTAGGGGGAGCGAGTGACAAGGTCACCCCCTTGTAAACCTCCTGGACTGAGGTACTAGTTCCATTTGGATAAGAGTTATGTATTTTTAAGTGAGCCTTGGTCAGTTCTGACCACTTCATTTCTTTTTATTCAGTTTTTCTTATCTTTTAACTTTCCAGGTCTGCCTTACCTTCTCCCCTTTCCCCTTCCCCTCATGCCCCCATGGCAGTGAAGGGAAACCCAGACTTACCATTCCTAAGATCTGGAAGTAACAATGACCCAAGCAATGACACTATTCAGGTGCCTGATAAAGAGATATTTGACCTAAACACTTCTTATGGCTAATATTATAAATAGTGTTTCCTGGACTATAAAAGGAGTTAATCATTTGATAAAAAGAAAAAGAACGGTCACCCACCTAAAAACTCTGAAAGCAGATATTATCTTCCTATAGGAAACCTACCTTAATGACTTGGAGGCAGAGAAATTGTGGAGGGGTTAGATGGGGGGGAGGGTGGGGAAGGATGTTTAACAATTTCTCCTCTGCAGCCAAAGGTGTAGTAATATTGTTTCACAAAAGACTCAATTTACAAATTCTAAATGTAAATAAAGATGAAGGTGGTAGATTTTTGCTGGAGAAGGCTAAGATTTCTGACTATCAGTGGTTTTCAAACTGTGGGTTGTGACCCAGTACTGGGTCGCATAATGTAAGGCACTCAGTCACGGCGGCTCTGGTCAGCACAGCCGACTGGGTCTTTAAAAGTCTCGTCAGTGGTGTTGCCTGGCTAAGGCAGGCTAGCTCATACCTGTTCTGACACTGCGCTGTGCCCCATAGACTGGTTCCTGGCCAATCGGAGTGCTGCCCCTGCCCGGAGCACCAGCTCCGCACTCCCATTGGCCAGGAACCAGTCTATCGGAGCTAGAGGGGTGGGGGTCGGTGCCTGCAGGTGAGAGTCACGCGGAGCTGTTTGTGCACCTCCGCCTAGGAGCTGGACCTGCTGCTAGCTGCTTCCAGGGCGCAGCGCGATCCGACATGCCAGTACAGGTAGGAAGCCTGCCTTAGCACCCCCGCTCCGCCACTTACCAGGAACCGCCCGAGGTAAGCCTGTGCCCCAATCCCCTGCCCCCCCCCCGAAACCCGGAGCCCCTTCCTGCACCCCAAACCCCTCATCCCCAGCCCCACCCCAGAGCCTGCACCCCAGCCCAGAGTCTTGACCCCCCTCCTGCTCCCCAACCCCCTGCCCCAGCCCTGAGCCCCCCCGAAACCCGGAGCCCCCTCCTGCACTCCAAACCCCTCACCCAGGCCCCACCCCAGAGCCTGCACCTCAGCCCAGAGCCCTGATCCCCTCCCACACCCCAACCCTCTGTGCCAGCCCTAAGCCCCTCCCAAACCCCTCATCCCCAGTTCCACTGGGTCATGGGCATTAACAATTTTCTTCAACTGGGTCACCAGAAAAAAAGTTTGAAAACCACTGCTCTATATACACTCTGATTAATATATATGGACCAATATAGGTGATCCAAGATTTTTTTTTTATCCCTCCCCCAACTAATTGTTATCCCACTAGAATCAATCGTCATAGCAGGAGATTTTAATGAGGCATTGGACCCTTTTTGAGACAAGTCAGGCCAGCCCCAGTGTAGACAATCACATGCTAGAAATGCATGGGTGCCCCTCGCTTCCCCCTCCACTCGGCCCGCTTCCTTCCCTCCCATCTCTATCCCCCTCCTCAGAACTTGGCTTCTCTTCTTTATCTGAACTTCATAATTTTTCTTTGACTAGTTGGATTTTTATAAACCAATTTTGTTTGTAAATCATGGAATACAAATAGTTGCTTTATATTTTAATCATTCGTATTATAGATATAATTAAATGTTTCAAGTATAGCTAAAGTTAGGCAGCAAATGGTTAATATGGACGTTTTTGTATTATGAGAAGTTTCTGTATATATATTTATATTTATATATATATATATATATAAAAACAAGCATAACATACTATACAGAAACTTCTCATAATATTTTAAATTAATCATAAGCGAATTAAAAAAAAAGTGTGAATCATCCCATTGAAATAGGTTCTTAAAGTTAGCACCTTGCTGCACCAAGGACTAAGGGGCTTGTCTGAGGTGACGCAGAAACTGTGGGACATAGCCAAGAATTGAATCCAAATTTCCTGAGTCCCACTCCAGAGCCTTAACCACAAAACTGTCCAGCCCCATTACAGAAAAGCAAAGCCTGTGGAGACATGATTTTTCTGATCAGCAAATAAACTTAAAATAAGTGAGCAGGCTGCCTGGAGGAGATTTGGCCATTGCTTTGTTGGTTTTGGAACCACCATTTGATAGGCATTTTCATAAAAACTTAACCTGGCTCAAAAAAAAAAAAAGTGTAAAAAATACAGTGAACTCAAAGAAGATAGAATTCTAGTGTAAAATCTCTCATATAGCTGAAACATACATCTGGACCTTCTTCCCCACATCTCATGCCCCCATCACATGACTGCTTTCTATAACAGAGAGAGAACCTGAAGACTCTCTCAATGAAGGACGCCTCTGTAAGGGGAGCAACTCACCATTCAGTTGCTCGCACAAAGCCAGACGACTCGGCTTCAGTATAAACTGGCACTGCAGCTCTCGGGGCAGCTGTTCCATTAAGAAGGACCCATGAAGGCTGAGAGGGTAGGCACAGTCTTTCGATTCCTGTGTCTGGGGCACAGCATCTCGAATGTGGCTCATTTTAATTCCAAAGGGATATTCGTGTCCTGCTCAAAGAGAAATCAGAATCATCTATTTCGGCCTGACTGGGGACCAGCAAAATTCAATCTACTTTAGAGAAAAACAGATTTTTGTACACTGGCTTGCAACTGTCTCTGTTGGTAACCTCGGGATAAAGCTACTCTGATTCTCCTCTCATTTCTGCTGGCATAAGTCATCTTTGACTCCACTGTAGCCAATGTTACAGTGGGTACAAGAAAATTCGGGCCAATTTTGTTAGTCAAATTGTTCAAACGCCCAGCAGAAAATTACAACCGACAATTTTGGAATCCAGTGTTTATTCTTTTTACTGCTTTATTTTCTTGGCTGAAAATCTAGGTACTGGTTTTCCACATGGAGCTGGCAAGAAATGAAAGTCCTGCTTGCCATTATCTGCTTTGGTAACCATTATTTGCTGAACACACAAAAAGTGTTAGATTCAATATGAAAGTGACCTCCCCTCCCTGGCCTTGGTAACTGGGACAACCATCAGTGCAGGCAAAGGGGACACAGTTTCAGTTCCCGTAGGATGTTGAAATAGAAAGGAAAGTTAGGCAGCAAATGGTTAACTGAAACTAGTTGTCCATGGCCAATTGGAGTCTTCAGGGACTATTCAGTGTCTATTCATTTCGGTGTAATCATACAAACACTTCACTAGAAGAACTACCTCAGGGCTTGTCTACACACACAGAAGTTGAACTGAAGGTGTGATGTTAAAGTGAATTAATTAAATTGGTGTTAACTGTATGTAGACCAGGCGTAACCTGAAATCTGTTTGTGGATGCAATCTTAATTAAGGATGATTGTTTCAGCTTTGTTCTGCCTCTTGCAGTTAGATATATATCAGCAGGCAGAATGAGATAAAAATTGGACCCTTAACTTCTCCAAGCAAACCTTTGGGTTAATATCAAGAGTAGTATCAGTTTAACATAGCCATTACATGAGCAACATACCCTCATATCTCAATGTCTGTACTTTGACCAGTTAACCTTTTACCCCCAATCGGGAATATTGCAGATTATGTATTCCTTACGCCATCCGATCTTAAACCAAACTTTGCAGCCCTTGATAAACTGTACGTTATTCCCTGATAACCAGAGACCTCTATGCTTAAACTCTGTACCGTTCACTTTTTTTAAAAATCATCTTAATAAAATTTTTAAATCTGTTATCAGTTTAACATCCAATATGTCTTCTATTGAAAGGCAGGGCCGGCTCTAGGCACCAGCTAAACAAGCAGGTGCTTGGGGCGGCACATTTCTCGGGGCGGCATCCCGGCACCGGCCATGCTGCCCCTAGAAATATGCCCCGGCCGCCCCAGCTTGCCTCCGCTTCTCCCCCGCCCCCCAGGCTTGCCGCTCGCGAACGGTTTCGCGTGGCAAGCCTGCGAGGGAGGGAGGGAGAAGCCGAGTGGCAGCACGCTCGGGGGAGGCGGCGGAGGTGGAGAGGAGGCAAGCTGGGGCGGGGAGTGGTTTCTCTACCCCCCCCCCCGTTACTTCCTGTGCTTACCTCCCCTCCACCTGCTCCCCTGAACGCACTGCCTCTCCCTTGCCTGAGAGGGAGGGGGGGAGAAGCAAAGGGGGGGAGAAGCAAAGGGGCGGTGTGTTCAGGGGAGTAGACGGAGCGGAGGTGAGCTAGGGTGGGGAGTTGCGGGGGGGGGAAGGCACGAGCAGGAAGCAAGGGGGGGGGAAATGCGGCACGCCCAGGGGAGGAGGCAGGGCCAGGGATTTGGGGAAGGGGTTGGGAAGGGGCGGAGCTGGGGGCAGAGGGGGACAAAAAAAAAGGGGGCAGCCAAAAATTTTTTTGCTTGGGACGGCAAAAATCCTAGAGCTGGCCCTGTTGAAAGGATTATATTCTGCACATGCAGAAGGAGAGATTCAATGAACTGAAAGGTCTTTTCCTTTTCTACATTCTATGATACTATAGATAAAGCCACATCAGCAGTAATGTCTGAACTAAACTACATACAATATGATGAATGACAGTCTGGTACTTTTCAAAGACAAAACAGTTTACGTTGTCTATAAGGTGCACACGTTAAGACATTTTATAAATAAGAATATTGTCTGATGCCAGTAAAGCATTTGTAGTTAAGGCTGCTCTGAGAAGGAATGCTATGATTTAGCTGCAGTTAGGTTTGTGAGAGGAGAATGGGAAAAACCTGCACGTTGTTGTTCTCTGTTTCTGTTCGAGACTGAGAATACTGTATATATGCTATGGCAATATAGGAGAAAACAAGACAAACCAGGTTGGTTCTATGAGAAAGAGAAGGTGTGTGATTCGAGGGGCTAGATCAAGGTTTATAACAAATCTTAGGGAGAAAGAAATGGTACTTTCCAATTGCTAAGAGTGTACAACACAAGAGAGCTCTCCTGCAAAAAAGGATCAAAGAACTCAACAGTGTCTGGGGTCACCCTTAAGATAGGCAAATCCATAGGACAGGAAAGTATTAAAAATAGGAAACCACATTTCTTATTTACTTTTAATATGACAGTTAATGAAGTAAAACAAATCCGTCCCAAAAACTCACCAATAAGTGGGTAAGGAGCATCTTCTTTTCCCGAATTCACCCACAGCTGATAGTCTTTTTCAGAGCCCTTTAAAATCAAAACGACCAGCCATTAGGAGAGGGATGTATTAGGTTTCTTACAGTAATATGAGAGTCTATGTCTTGAGACTATGAGCAAGGGGACTCTCCAGAGGGTGACTATGCCTGTAATTCCCAAATAAGAACATCCAAACTTCTGATGTATTTGCATTATTATCCCATCCAATATGAGGTGTTAAGAACTAGCTCCAAGCAGCATGAATGACTGCTTGGAGTCCTTCATTTCTGGGGGCCTCTTTCAGACTCGCAGTTCACAGACTGGCAATTCTCTCTATACAGTAGCCAGACCAGAGGGGAGACAGTTTACCCTGACTTGGAGGTGACAAAATATGATTGGGTGCAAAAAAGTATGCCCATTTTTCTGCCCCAGAGATCTGTTCACTGTCAAGAATGAATATCCTGCACTCTCAACATGTGCCTTGAAACTCATGGTGCCCTTTGCAAGCACATAATTGTGTGAAGTTGGATTCAGGACACTCGTGTCCATCAAGTCTCAGTATTGATCTACCATTGATGTCACATCGGAGATTAGATGTGCAACTTCTACCATGCCGCCAGACTTTGAGAAGCTGTGTCGCAACACGCAAGCTCATGTGTCATATTAGAGAGCATTAAATAATGTACTTAATGTGTAAACTCCTTGGATTCCTTGGTCACTATGTTACTTCCTTGCTGTCTGGGGTCACAGGAAACAGTAAGTCTCAAAATGGGGTCACACAGGTGAAAATTTGGGAACCTCTGTGCTACAGCATTCTTAATCAGAGAGCGTCCTGGCTGCAGAAATCTGGCAAATACCCAATGGTCCTTTATTTAGATCTAAGACAGAGTCCACCTTTCTTCCAAATAGATTTACCACCACCTCCAGTCTCATTTCATCTGGATATTCTACCTGTGTCCCCAATGCTCTTGAGCCAGTTTGTATTTTCCTCCTGCGCCCACCGATAATAATCTGGGTCCACCCCAGAAAGCCATAGCCACTTTCATTGCGACTGACAGTAGTACAGCTTTCTGGGCCACATCAGAACTGCTGCCAAGCTAGTTAGCAGGTGGAAGAAGGAAAATAAATAGACTCTGGAGACATCCCTGGTGCCTCATGGCCAGAAGCCAGGAGCAAATACGTACAAGCTGAACAGCACAAAAAATATTTACTTTTTCTTTGTAAAATATATAGGAAGTAGACATGGGGGGAGGGGGAAGGGTTGGTGAACTCAGTTTTGAGGGACTGCCCTTCCCAATCACAAACGCTGCCCCTGTAGGCAATACAAGGCCATTTGCTTGCACAGTTGTGGCAGTCCTGGTGTTACTGAAACACTAGGAACTCAAAATTTGAAGGAACCTTCCAACCCCCAAACCCCCTTTCCTGACTAGCTTAATAGTTTAGACCAGTGGTTCTCAACCAGGGGTCCGGGGCCTCCTAAGGGGCCATGAGCAGGTTTCAGGGGGGCCTCAAGCAGGGCCAGTATTAGACTTGCTGGGGACCAGGGCAGAAAGCCGAAGGCCCTGCACATTGTGCTGAAGTCCAGGGCCCTGAGGCCCACCACCTGGGGCTAAAGCTGAAGCTTGAGCAATGTAGCTTTGAGAGGCCCGCAGTGGCATGGGGCCTCAGGCAATTGCCCTGCTTGGTACCCCCTAATGGAGGCCCTGGCTTTTATATGCAGAAAACCAGTTGTTGTAGCACAGACTGGCCATGGAGTTTTTATAGCATGTTGGGGGGTGGGGCACAGCTCAGAAAGAAAAAAGATTGACACTTTGCAGGAATTAGCTGCAGTTTCCACTTTGCAGGAATTAGCTGCAGAAAAAAGTACACTGCACAAAATGCAGCAAGATCAGGCACAGTAATAGCCTCATTACTCACACAAGATGGGAAATGTGTTTCCTTTAATTGTCATCGAAAAATCCTCCCCCTACTTTTCAGATGCTTGTTCCTGTGTGTCATGTTATGTAAGGAAAAGCAACCTATCTAACAGAAACAATTATCGGATGGGGCTTGTGTTTTCTCTTTTTAAGCTGGTCTCAGATGATTGCTGGGTGTGTGATATGCCCATAATAAAACAGTTGTTAGGCCACCAAGACGCAGAGAAAATTTGTGCTGTTTTACTTAGAAGAGTAGAATAGCAACCAAGAGTCTAAATTGTCCAGATAAATTTTCATTTTTTCCTGCTCAAATTGATACATTAAACCAGGGCAAAACCTCAGGTACAGTACGTACAATGGAATACTAATGTGAGGTTAACAGTGAAGCAGTTCATTATCAACTCCTCCCCTCATACCAACCAAAACGCTCCTTTGCAGTGTCAGTATCTTCATGGCCCGATGATTGCTCTGCAGACATGTGCAAGCGTAATAGTGGGTAAAAATAAAGCGCATTAAGAAAAAGTATTGTTGGACTTGTAACTGTCATGCTGCATCAGCTCCCTTATGTTGCACTGTGGGTTGGGAGAGAAAGTGCGCCAGATTTCGACTTGCGCTACAACCTCTTTGCGGTGTAGTGGCTCAAAAAGATCCCAAAGCTACCCTAATTAGGCAGAAGGGGAAATCCTCACGTGGTGTAGAGCTTCTGATTTGGTGTGACAGGGGTGTTTGAGACATGCTGGGAGGTATGGTTGAGTATTGTGCTCAAGAAATCCCTGGCCATCAGAATAGTCCCTTGGAAGTCCCAACAGCTGGTGTAAATTACAGCGGCCCTAAAGTTGCTCTAAATCGTGTCGGGACCCTTTGCAAACCCAAGGGAACATGAAGGTGGCATTAAGCCATACTTAACATTCCATAATTGAACCTTTGCTGAGAGCACCTTGGCCGGATCCAAGTTTCAGGACACGGACACACACACGGACACACACACACGACCAAACCATTTTTAAAAGGCTTATATCTGAAGAGCTGTAATGTTTCACTTAACATTATTTCTATTTTTGTTCCACTTGAAAGAAGGAAATTAACCACCCAGTCAGTGAACGCTCATCCACAGACTTCCACTACTGCCAGTACAGGTCAGAGACACTTTGAAAAATAGTGAGAGAAGAGGGATAGGGAAGTCAGAACTCCTGACATCTATTCCTGACCCTGACGCTCACTGTGTGGTCTTGGACAAGTCATTAAGGAAAAACTTCCGATGTAGGTGCATGTGTAACCCACACACCTCCTGGGTGTGGTGCTCTATTCGATCTAATGGCATTGAGACCACTTAGAGATTAATGAGTCTGCTATACAGCCTTAGCTAAGGGCCATGTGGCTTTTAGCTCATCCAGTAGAGGCTCATGCACTAAGCTTCAGCGGTCCCAGGTTTGATCTCGCCCACCAATGACTGGGCTCTGTCGGCGTTACAAGTGGGGGCTCGTCCTGGATTTCAACTGGGAAGTCTCTGAAGCTTGGGACGCGCTTCCTCAGCTAGGGGAAGCATGTAACCCACACACCTACTGGGGGTGGTGTTGTGTCCCATCTAGTGGCACCGAGACCACTTAGAGAAAGATTAATGAGTCTGCTCTACCACCTTAGCTAACAGCCAGTTGGCGTTTAGCTCATGCAGTAGGGGCTCATGCATTTAGCTCCAGAGGTCCCAGGTTCAATCCCACCCACCAACCACCGGGACCTGTCGGTGTTACACATGCAATTCCACACCAAAGAGGACATGCAGACAACTACCCAGTTTAGATATCAAAGAGCAGTACTTGGATGTGAGATTTAGGCACACAGCCGTACACGCATATTTTCAAATGTAATTGTGCACGTCCAACTTTGAAAACAAATCAGGCCAATAAGGCCAGAGCCAACTCCCAAGGTGAATTTCAGTCTTCAACAGGAGTTGTATGGAGCTCTTAACTTGTGATCACCTCACTTCACCCATCTGCAAAATAAATTTAATAACTACCACAAATGCGGGATGTATCTCATTGGGGTGTTGGGAGGCTCTCTCAATACCTGTAATGCATTTGGTGATCTGTAGATGAAAAGCACTATACTAATATGTGCCTCCAAGGCAGTTAAGAATCACTGGTCTCTTATGGTAACCGATGTAATTGGTGTCAATGTCTTCAATTTGGGTAAAAAGTAAAGATTTGATGATAAGTAAATAAATAAATAAAGTAATCAAATCTGATTGTAAGGACTTACATTAATCCCCAGCTGCTGCAGGGCTGTGAGAATCACATCATTCACTGTATCAGCATTGGTTACAGTGAGCGTTTTCGACTGTGGAGAGAAAAAAAAGGGAAAAGAAAATTGGCATTCTAGACTACAGTGTTTGCCAAGAACAGCCTCCAAATGACTTCGTACAAGAATAGTAGTAAATTACAGTGCTGAAAAAACACTCCGTGCAAGATACTCTGTTAAGATGTTCGCTAATAAGCAATATGTACTTTCTGTGCATAAGAACAAGCTCTCAGACCTGTCCATACCTGGACCCAGCCCCACTTTCCAAACACCGATATGGGAAGGGCAGGTTGGTTATGATTTCATGGTTGAGACTCCTGCATTAAAACACACAGCTGAATCAGCCGCTAAGAACTGCACTTTCCCTCTACACAAGACAAATAAAAGGTGCATTAATGCACGGACATATAGATATAAGAAGGAGAGAATGGAACACTTCAGAATGGATAAAGTGAGTGCGTTCAATGGAACAAATGGTCAGTGTATTAACATTTAATAACTCACTTTTCTACTGCACATCTAGCCAGAGAGGATAGTAGTAGTGACATCTCTATCCATCACCCACTTCCCATGTATATGCATCAAAGCCAAATTCTGTTTGATAGCAGAAATGCTTCCTCTCAGGAATCTCTAATCCAGTCATATTTTTACCTCCATAACGTACTCCAAACTTACTGATAAACAATATGAAACATACTATCCCTATTCAGGAAGCGATGTGTATAATGAATAGAAAGAGGACATTGGTTTGACACAGGGGATGAGCTGAGCACTCTGACCACCTTGAAGTCCCTCTTCTGTATGCACTGTTGTGCTTTGATTTTAATCATTCCTGGAAGTCCTGCTTCCTGGAAGCTGTTCTTCCTTGAATGATATTGCAACACCAGTATCACTGACTGCTGGACATCAATATTATTCCTGCCTTTTGAGGGGAACATCCTCCATGACGTGTCTTATATTTTATGTACCCTGACACATGGTTTCTAATCTTATCTTCAAGTCCTCCCTCCAGCCCATTGCAATCAATCGTTATGCCCTTGCCTCTTACCCAGCTCCAAGCAAAAAATACTTAGACCTTGTCTGCACTAGAACTTACTTCGGTATAACTTACGTCACTCAGGCTGGTGTAGACAGCGCTATGTCGGCAGGAGAGCTTCTCCACCAACGTAGCTACCGCTTCTCATGGGGGATGGAGCAATTAAGCTGATCGGAGAGCTCTCTCCCGTCGCCTTAGAGAGTCTTTACCAGAAGTGCTACAGTGGCTCTGATGCAGCTGTGCTGCTTTAACACTTCTAGAGTAGATGTAGCCTTACCCAGAGCACTACATTTCACACACACACTGTACAAGCATGACCTAATTAATTCTCAATACCTCTGAGAGGTAGATAAGTGTTACTGACCCCATTTTACAGATGGGGGGAAAAGAGTCACAGAGGTCCAGTGTCACAGCGAGAGTAGGTGTCAAACCTGGGATTTGAACTCTTGACTCCTTGCCCAGAATCAGTTTGCTAGGCCCTGCTGACACATACAGCACATCAGTTTTAAATTGGACACAACATTTCCAGATAAAACAAACCCATGACGTTTTGCCTTAAATAAAAGATCTGGAATGTCCTTCTGTCTAAGCCCCTGATAGTAACAAGCTGCCATGGCAATCAAAGGAAAGTAGTGAGAATACTGTATATTTGCTTCAGGATGTATCTGAATGCTCAGACCATAAAAAATTTAACATTTCCCCAAAGCAATGGCATCTGGCACTTAGGAGTAGGTCAACACATTTGCATACATTTTGCTTTGGGCTAGAATATAATAAAATGTTTTTGTGCTACATGTCCCTCCTCACCCAAAATGAAACAATTCCCTGGGACCCCCAGCTCCTTTAGTACACAAGAGACTGTAGCATCATAAGACGTATTTAGATTATGAAGTTTCCATCTGCTATGCCTTTACTTCATCACTGATAATATCTAGATTGCTGTATTTCATTTCCAGGACTATCAGGCTCGGGCACCCAACTCTGGCTCATGAACTAATTTTAGCCAGAAAGGTTCTGAGCTATTGCCCCACTCTGAACACACAAAAGATTCATAGACCCCTTTTCAGAAATATCTGAGCACAGCTTGATTTACTTCCTTCAACCCAAACTGCCACTGTTTGCATCACTATTAACATTGGGTTTAGGGATCCAGTAATTCTAGCTGTTGTGCTCTCAATGATTTCCCATGGAAGGGGGAATACTTTATGTCTGGACTTATTCAGTATAGTATTCTAACAACTGCAGATTGCCTCTTCTGGTAGAAAAGTCTCCTTAAGGGACTTACTTCTACAAAAACAAATTGCCTCAGCAACTGCCTTTTAGGCTCTTGAACATAAAACACAGATTTTTAAAGCAGCATTTAGAGGGGAGAGGATAAAAACAGACAGGATGGATGGACGGATCTATGGATGCTAGTGTTTCTTGGAACGCTTGTCTACATACAGAAAGTGAACTTGTTCAACTTATATTGGGTAAAAACAAGTTAAAATGGTGCAACCCCCAATGTGGGCATTCTTATATTGATTTAAAATTTGTTGTATCAGTTTAGTTTTTTCCTGAAAACGTATTGATACAGGTCTTAGCATATGAGCTATGTGCCTCAGGTGGCATGTGACCAGGATTCACCATCGAATTTGGCCCGCTGGTTGAATCATTAGCTTTCCCGGCTTGGGCCGGATACTGGCGGGGAGTGCGATATGAACACTGATCCATGGGTAAGCTGATGGAAGCCAGATTTAAATTGATTTAACAGTGTCCATGCATCAAGTCATATCAGTTTAACTAAATCAGTACAAAAATCACCCTTTCAGATGAATCAGTACAACTTTGTATCTAAATCAGGCTTGAGAGTAAAACCAGAGCGTCTCTGAAGGGGCCAACGTCTAAACTACTTCAGAAGGATTGCTCTGAACTGTAGACTCTCCAGCTTTGCTTTCTACTTATTGAGATGTGCACTTGATCCATGAAAGTGTTTGTTCCAGAACAGTATTTTTAAGACATGACTGCATGTCTTGAATAGAGAGGAAATGTTTCACAGATTCATAGATTCCAGGGCTAGAAAGATGATCCCTGTGATCATCTAGTCTGACCTCCTGTACAGCACAGGCCATAGGACTTCCCCAAAATAATTTCTAGAGCACATCTTTCAGAAAAATATTCAATCTTGATTAAAGATTTGTCACTGATGGAGGAAATTCACCATGACTCTTGGTAAACTGTTCCAATGGTTAATTGTCCTCACTGTTAAAAATGTACACCTTATTTCCCGTCTGAATTTCTCTAGCTTCACCTTCCAGCCATTGGATCACATTATACCTTTCTCTGCTAGACTGAAGACCCCGTTAAATATTTGTTCCCCACATCATCCTGTAACCTTCTCTTTTTTAAGCTAAATAGACTGACCTCCTTGAGTCTATCGCTATAAGGCAATGGTTCTCAAACTGTGGTTTGGAACCCCAATAGGGTCACAAGGGCTAGCATTAGACTTGCTGGGGGCTGGGACTGAAGTCAAGGTCCAAGCCCCACCACCCAGGGCTGAAGCCCTCAAGCTTTGGTGCCCCCCAGAGCGGCGGGGCTTGGGCTTTGGCCTGCCTACCCTGGGCGGTGGGGCTCAGGCTTCAGTCCTCCTTCCCAGGGTCATGTACTATTTTTTGTTGTCAGGAAGGGGGCATGGTGCAATGAAGTTTGAGAAACCCTGTTATAAGGCATGTTTTCCTTAAAATCATAATAAATGCAAAGTAATGCACACTGGAAAACAATCCCAACTATACATACAAAATTATGGGATCTAAATTAGCTGTTACCACTCAAGAGATATCTTAGAGTCACGGTGGATAGTTCTCTGAAAACATCCACTCAATGTGCAGCAGCAGTCAAAAAAGGTAACAGAATGTTGGGAACCATTAGGAAAGGGACAGATAATAAGACAGAAAATATCATAATGCCTCTATTTAAATCAATGATATGTCCACATCTTGAATACTATGTGCTGATCTAGTCACCCCATTAAAAAAATATATTAGAATTGGAAATGGTACAGGAGAAGGGCAACAAAAATGATTAGGGGGTATGGAACAGCTTCCATATAAGGAGAGATTAAAAGACAGACTTTTCAGCTTGGAAAAGACACGACTAAGGGGGATATGATAGAAGTCTATAAAATCTTAACTGGTGTGGAGAAAGTGAATAAGGAAGTGCTGTTTACTTCTTTACATAACACAAGAACTAGGGGTCACCAATGAAATTAATAGGCAACAGCTTTAAAACAAAACAACACACAGTCAACCTGTGGAACTTGTTGCCAAGGGATGTTGTGAAGGCCAAAACTACAACAGGGTTCAAAAAAGAATTAGATAAGTTCATGGAGGATAGGTCCATCAATGGCCATTAGCCAGGATGGTCAGGGACGCAATCCCATGCTCTCAGTGTTCCTAGCTTCTGTTTGCCAGAAGCTGGGAGCGAATGACAGGGGATTGATCTCTCAATGATTACCTGTTCTGTTCATTCCCTGTGAAGCATCTGGCATTGGCCACTGATACTGGGATCTAGCCAGGATACTGGGCTAGATGGACCATTGATCTGACCCAATATGGCTGTTCTTACACTCCAATCCTTTAATCATTCTTGTGGCTGTTCTGTTCTCTGCACCCTCTCCAATTTATCAACATCCTTTTTGAATTGTAGGCACCAGAACTGGGGACAGAATTCTAGACACGGATGCATCCATGCCACATATAAAAGTAAAATGATTCTCCTGTTTATTCATCCAAAGATCACATTACTCCTTTTGGCCACAGCATCACAGAGGGAGCTCATGATCAGCTCATTATTCACCATGGCCCTATTTGTTATAGTGGGCTGGATCCTGAGCGGGGCTGGGGCCCTAAACTCCCACTGATGTCATTTGGAATTATGGGTGCTCAGCACCACTCAGGTCTTTTCCAATTAAATCTTAATCCCCTTTTTCAGCACAGGAACACTTACATATGCACAATTGCCAACATCCTTCGCAATGATCTTCAGCGGAATGCTCTTGGGATAGTCTTTTTCTTTTTCTTCTTTGATTCGACTAACAAAACAAGCAAAGACCACACCATTTTCATTGTTATTAACAAAATTGGTAATATTTTGATTTAGTAACCCAAATAATACTGTATAAAGAAGAGAGTTGATTGCAAGGTTACCATATGCACAAAGCTCTTAGGGGGAAATGATGCATCTATGTTGTTAGAATAATATTCCATTTGGATGCTGACCAGGGTTTCCAATAAAATATTACACTTTTGCATGAATAAAGCTGATAGGTGGTGGAAACCAGTATAAGCAATAGACAAGCAAGGTTTAAAGCCCCTCTGAAACTTAAATGCTGCTTTCACAATGGTTTGCTTTTTGGGCAGCCCACCAAAATAAAAAGCATCCTTCTGGTAGTAAAGGGCCCAATCATTTCCCTCAGATTTGCATACGAAGGAAATCCGTCCACACATGGGTCTCCCTCTCTTCTGGACAGAAGTGGGGTCTCGGTCATTTCCACACCACTGCCCTCTCCTTGCCCCAGATTATTTGGAGGGTGCCCCATAGATCTGGGAATACCACTCCTCCACCTGATGGAGATTCCCCAATAGAAAAATACGCATCCCAGGGCTGCACTACCTTTTCCGCAAAGCCCCCTCCATGGCAGGGATCCCCCCTAGGAGGGTCCTGGGGATCATCTGTGGGTAGAAGAGGTCCTGGTAACACAGCCCCCACTGGAGCCTCACTGCCAGGGACCAGGGCCAGAGCAGCTGGTGGCACAGAGCCAGCCATACAGTGGTACATGACCTCCACTCCAATGGCACTGGTGGGACCTGTGGTCTATTTCCAACCGGTCAGGACAATCCTCACAGGGGACTCCTTTGTGCAGCTTTCTTTCTCTAATGCGTTTTGCTGTTGGAGGGAGAGATCCAGCTCAAAGGGAGAAAACTACCCTAACAAGTGAGGATAAACCCAGTGACTGGTACATTAAATCGTCATCATTATGGGATAATCCAGTGTCGACCTGGGACCATTGACAATTGCCAAAGGATAAATAGGGTGCGCAAATAGCAAGGAAGGAGAGGAGCTGTATTTGAGGACGATACAGGGTGACATCACTAAGGGGAATGGGATGAAATTAAGAATGGGTAAATTTATGCCAAATACCAGAAGAAACTTCCCATCACCAAGATGCATTAGGCTGTAAAATAGTCTCCTAAGGGAGCTGGTTGAAGCCCCATTGCTTAGAACATTTAAAACAACTGGACAAAACAAGTGGGAAGTCTAAATAATTCCAAGTAAGAATGATTGATCCACCCCCAACCCATGAACTCTGGGGAGCCAGACAAACAGACGCAGATCTGAACTCCTAGAACTTTGACTTGGAATACAAAATCCCAGCCAATGAAGTTTCTGCTCATCTCTATTTGAAATGGGACAGAACCAGATCCATGTACTCAAGCCTTCCCCAAAATCCCCCTTGACTGATTAGGTTTGGAAAAACCAAAACTAGCATGGATTTTGCCCATTCTTACTGGAAAGTCCACTATAGGGAACAATCCTGCATTAGCAACAGATAGTTTTGATGAGTGAATGAGTCTTTTCCATCTCTTCTATGATTATTATAAAAGTAGGAAAATAAAAGTACCTTTGCAAGGAAGAGAGCCACTTTTCCTTCTGCTCTGGGGAACTGCAAGGATTACAAAACAGTGACAAATATAGAAGTCAGCCAGCATGCAAGTGCCAAAGTAAAACCAATAAGAACCAAGATGGACGAGCATAGAGATTCACTGGCATATCCACGAACAACAAGCAACTGTTAAAGAACTGGTGTGGCAGAGTGACCAGGCTCTTACTGACCCCTAGAGCTGGCCCCTGTCCTAAGGAGTTGTCCTGTTGGAAGGGGAGAGCAGTGAGTTCAGAGCTCCAGAGGTTGCCAAGAGAGAACCAGACAGAGTTGGTCCTCTGGTGCCTAGAAGAGCCAGGAGAAGGTAGAGGCCAATCAGGGCCAAGCAGACCAGATTAAAAGGACTGGTTACTTCTACTAGGGAAGAGTTCTGGGTGAAGCCAAGACAGGAAAGGCTCACTCTCTCTCTCTGCCCTAACCCAAGTAACCAGTCAGGCATCTAACCTTGACAGCATTTGCTCTGGATCTCTGTGAAAGTCCACAACAAATAATAGTCTTTAATGCCCAGGTGGCTATTTTGAGTTCAGTGTTAATTTGTTTTCTGTAAACCTGAAGCGAACCTACACCACGGGGCAACTGTCTAAGGGGAGTCCTTGACAACTTCTGACATGATTTGCAACTTTCAGTGAAAGCCTGCTTCCTTGCAAATTGAAAAAAATATGATCTGTATTGGGGTAAAGTCCTAGCGTTCAATTTTTCACCACAGAAGTTAAAGTTTGCCAATGAAGTCAATGGAAACAAAGTTAGGCTCCTAAGCTACAGGCTGCTAAAATGCAAACAAAAAACAGGATAACTTTACACATAGGTGTTTGATTCCTGAGTTTAAGGGTATTGCTGGTATAAAGATTGGTGAAGCTCCTCCCATTCTGTTGCTTTGTCTTTTTAATTGTTTACAGTAGGTTAGTACTTAAAAGGCCCCAGTGAGGACTGAGGACCCATTTTAAACAAGATTTTTTAACTTTTATCTCACCCATACACTTTGAAGTGTACTAAGCTATCCAGTTATATGTATGATTGTTCTTTTATTAGGATAATTACAGTAATAAGGAGCCTAACCTAATTTTACTTCAAACTTTCTTGATCTAAATCCTGCCCTCGATGAAGAAAAGATTTTTCCCACTGCTGCTTTTGAAAATCAAATTTCTCCAAATTTTTGAGGTTGCTATTTAGGGAACTATAACCCCTGGTCAATTTTCCTCCTTCAGGAACAAACACTTGATAAACATTTGAACTTTGGTTTTGGTTTCATTGCATGGCAGATTCTCTTGTAACTTATCTCTACTTAGTGACTTGTATAAAACTCTTCAGATCTCCTATTTACCACTGGACATGAAATCACTCCACTTACATACAATCTAGGACTCCCTTTTGACTAGGCTGTCACTGACACACCAGACTATTTCCTTCTAGCTTTAAAGGATAGGCTACTGTCTCTAAATCAAAGCTCATTTTTATTGGCAAGAGTTTAATTAAATCGAAATTTCAGCTTTGTTTCAGACCTATTCTGTTAAAAAAAAACAGTCAGTACTACAGAGAACAGTTTATGCAGAACAGTCTCTTGGGTTACAGACAATGTGATATAAAAACAGAACTATAGGTCTCATCTCTTGCTCTCCATTAAGGGGAAAAATCCAGTTTCCAGTACTCAGCCCAATTATCTTAGCTGGGCAACACAGATTTATTGGGCAAAGATCCCCTCCGTTGGCCTTTCTGCAGAGACTAAAATTGACCTAATGGCCAAAACTGCCTTAATGGCCCTAGTGTGCCCTCACAACGAAAACTGTGCAGAAGCAGATTTAAATGCTCACGCCTGTTAATATTCAGAGTTTCTGTTTTAGGAGGAATTTTGAACTTATTTTCTCTGGCAGAGTTTAAAAAAAGGGAACTGGGTCAACATATTACTGAATGATTCTTGCTTGCACTCAATGCAAACTCCACCCCTTCGCAGGTGCATATGATAGACTCTTTGACCTCTGGAAAGGGCTGACACAGCCTGGCTGTGCCTGTTCAATAATTACTAAGTAGTCAAGGTATTTACAGAAATGTATTTTAAAAACCAAGACAGACAGTTAACACCAAGCGCGTACACAACACAAATCATACAGCACTTTGCCAAATCTTCGATTTTCTCCGCACCCATAAGAGCTAGGTAAGTACCACTGCCACTCTTTTTGAGATCTGGAAACTGAGGCAAAGAGGTTAGCTGACTTGTCTCAAGGCAACAGAGGGAATCTATGTTGGAGCTATGGAGATCCTGACTTCCAGGCCTGTGCGTAGACAATACGTCAGTTGTAATATTTTTATTACATTACTACCCTACCTAAATTTAATAAAGCAGGAAATACACATTTCAATTCCTACCTAAAATTAGCAACACAGTTGGTGGTGGGCCAGCCTATAACGAAGGACCTTTCCGGGTTAGTGCTGCCCTCATAGACCTCTTCCATGCAGGATGCCGTCCACATCTCACAGAGACGCACTTGGCTCTTTAGTTTGAAATGAGATGGTGACCTGTTGGCAGAAATACCAGCTATGAGACACACGAAAACAGAGAAACCCAACTTATTAAATACGGTGTTGCTGACGTGTAACTTCCATCAGAGCTAATGGAGAGACTATACTTCTTCAGTTAGAGAAATACAATCTTTTATTGGGCTTCTCTCCTTATAGATAAATACAATTTACTTTCCATTCCACAAGCAGATGTCTCTTGGCTGTCCTAGCCCTGCACTATATCGAAATTATTAAAAGCATAAAAAATTAGCTGATATCAGCAAACTCAACTCTATAGATGTAACCCACAGTCACTACAAGCAAGCACTGTAATCACCACCACCCCACAGGCAAAAGGCCGAGTTAACAGATGGGTTTACAAAGTCCAACGCCACCTCTTCTGGACAAGCAGGGAAAGAGATTTCAAGAGATGAGGGCCCTTCCCAGAATTTGCCCTGCCTGCCACCAGGATGTTTTAAGCCAAGCACTGCAAACAAGAGTACATGATCTCAGCTCACCATGGTGAAGGTGAATGGGGATGGTGCATAGATACTATGGTGATTAGTGCTCTATAAATACATACACTAAATAAACGTATTGTAAGGAGAGTGGTCACTTTGGATAAACTATTACCAGCAGGAGAGTGAGTTTGTGTGTGTGTGTGTGTGGGGGGGGGAGAAAACCTGGATTTGTGTTGGAAATGGCCCAACTTGATTATCATACACATCATAAGGAGAGTGGTCACTTTAGATAAGCTATTACCAGCAGGAGAGTGGGGTTGGACGAGGTATTTTTTCATGCTTTGTGTGTATATAATAAGATCTTCTACACTTTCCACAGTATGCATCCGATGAAGTGAGCTGTAGCTCACGAAAGCTTATGCTCAAATAAATTGGTTAGTCTCTAAGGTGCCACAAGTTCTCCTTTTCTTTTTGCGAATACAGACTAACACAGCTGTTACTCTGAAACCAGTTTTAGAACTGTGGAGGATCTGCAATACCTTCTTCAGGGTTAGTCTCATTTACAAGGTATTTAATTTAGGTCAGATTGAACTATTTAAGTCTGAAATGGAACAGGACTTGAACCTCATGGGTTTACAAGGACTGTGCTCAATTCACACTGCTCTGATTTCTGATGTCTTCAGTTTAAATTCTGAAAACCGCGACAGCTGGATACTGCACCACAGATGACCCGGCATTAATATGAATATCCACAGATGAACATAAAAAGGATCCTGCATGCATATCTCTACAGCCACTAGCATAAAGAAGTAGAATGTCTGTAGAATATTTTGAGGTTACATATTAAAATCATATCTTTATTTTTATTCTGCCATAAAGATTCGTAACCCACTGTGCATCTGACCTTTCTTAAATCTGTAATACTTGATTCTATTTGCTCATAAAATGATTGGATTTTTTTTTACAGAGCAAGTAAGAGCTACTGTCAAAAATATTGAGTAATTGTGCATAGTGTGACCTTGGACTGAACTGTTTAAAAATTTACAAATACAAGTGTCGGAGTGAAGTCTAATGGACTAAGCATAAGATCTAATAAAATAAAGTTCTCTCTGGTGTAACTCCAGTGACACCTGCAGCGCTACATCAGGAATTCATTTTTTGGTCCAGTCTTTCCTTTTCCATTTTCTGGTAAAGTGCAAACTTTGCCTAGTATGTTACTCTCTCAACATTTACAACACACAATGCTGGATCCCCACAAAACCAAGCGTGAATGTTGGCAGGGGCTCACACAACACAGAGATGCTTTACTGACCAGAATTGGTGGAGTGGAGTCCATGGTGTAAATTCCCCACCCTCTGCCTGGGTTAGCCAGAGTTGTCAACTATTATCCATATTTAGGTACCTGAGTAAGTGGCCTGGTTTTCAGACATGCTGAGCGCTAAGTCGCTCCCATTCAAGTCAACAGAGCCAGAGAAGTGTTACGTCATCCATGGGCCAGTGGAACCAGGGAGCTCTGGAGCCTTTGCAATGGAAATACTGTGCGGGCTCCACCTCTGTGTAAAATCGGACACAAGAGTGGTGCCCACCATTGCAGCCCCCAGGATTGGACTGTAGAGCAGGTAGGAATCCCCCGGACCCTCCTTCCCAGACTGGAGCTGGCTCCCCACCCACTGAATCTCAGTAATTCTCCTCTCTCCCCCTCCTATCCCTTTGTCCCCGCATTCACAGGCAGCCCTCCCCCGCATTTTCATCCCCATCTGCCAGGTCCTTTCTGCAGTCAGAGAGAGGTGAGCACTTTTGAACATTACGCCACTTATTTAAGTGCTTAAATACTGTCATTAGAGCCTAACTTTAGGCACCCAGTTGTGAGACTCTTGCCAAATATCAGTTTTCTGGTCAGTTCAGAATCAACTATCATCAAAACTTAATATTAACCAATGGGGAGGGAAGAGACTGACTGGCATAAGGAGAGACTGATTTTCTTTTCAAGAACATAAATTGATATCATTCCAAAATATGCTTGTTTTTACATTGCGGATATAGGACACCATCCTGCTCCTAGTGAAGCAAAACTGCTGACTTTAGATGGTGCACAACTGGGCCCTACATGAATGCGCAGGTACACCATCTCATACCAGCGTGGCAAATCTAGTTCCTTTTGCTTTCAGTAAATGCCAATTCAGTACCTTGCTGCTATTAACAGATGGAAGATTAACTTCTCACTAGGTTAGTTAATCTCCTTAATAGGTACTTCTGACAAAAATGTTAATGGATCCATTGGGAAATTGCTACCATCATTCCATTTATTTACCCTCCTACTAATTTCCCCCAAAGCAGCCAGACTTCAGAACAGTAACCAAATGTGTGTGTTGAGGGAGAATCTTTTATCTCTACATTCCCATCCAACACACCTGTGAGCAATCATTAGAAATCTTTGTTAAAAACAGAAAGACACAAACTGCATTAAAATATCTGTAGCTGTTGGCACATGGCAACAAATGTGTAAGGTAAGGAACTCACTACCAACACAATCCACCTAGAAATGTTAGTTTGGAGATCACGGATCTTTCAATCAGCTAACTAGCGTATTCTCTTTTCCCCCTCGTCTCAATATATCTGGATTCTCATACGTTCTCCTTTCACAAGGCTGGCAGAGGAGAAACACCTGTAAACTATCAGCTGTGGAGTTACAGCTGACCAACAGTGAGTAAACATGGCTTAAATCCTCATGTGGCTGCAGCAGAACAGGAGCATTTGTGTGTGCCCAAAGATATAGCTAGGGTGACCAGACAGCAAGAGTGAAAAATCGGGACGGGGGTCAGGGGTAATAGGTGCTTATATAAGACAAAGCCCCAAATATCGGGATTGTCCCTATAAAATCAGGACATCTGGTCACCCTAGATAGCACAATTACGGACTAAGTTTAAGGCTTTGATATTCCACTTTGGCGATAGTGAAAGTAGCTGAAAGGGACCCTTGTGTGGCCCTCTCAGAGTTATTTTGCTTTTAACAAGCTGACTTTGTAGCTCTGTAAAGTATTGCCTGGATATTGTTGCTGTGGAGTTTGCCTCACTTGATAAGTGGATTACTATCTATCTGAGACTGCAGCTCTTGCATAAAACTGGGTCAGCCTAAAGAGGGATCTGATTCTTCTGTGTGGCATCAAAAGCCGTCAGCAGGAAGAGTGACTGCTGGTGGGATCACAGTCAGTGAAATTCCAACCTTTGGTTGAAATACAGGATGTTGTCTGATGGTTGCGAAATAGGATGCCTTCTGTATTCAGAGTGTGCACGGGGTTTTGGTGGCATTGTGTTACATAAACACAACAAATGCTTTCCATCTTGATATGTACACATTCTAAAAAACTGAGTTTTATCCACAATGCCAACAAGCCATTCAATTGCTTTTCCCTGCTGAGTGAGGCATCCATTACATACTGGGCATCAACTAGTCTCTTTACCTCCAGTCCAGATTGAGCAACTTGGTGCTCAGCAGAAGAAAATTGCCTCAAAATTATCTCAATTTTCTTGAGAGGCGGTAAATATAACTTGATTGTCTGGGTTTAAAAAAAAAAAAAAAAAAACTCACCATAAAGCTTGGATTTTTTCCTTACGTAAGAGCCAGGACAGTTTATTCACAGAATCAAATTTTGCATTGTACCCAATCTTATATGTGGGTTAAATGAGACACAAAGAGCTCAAATTACCTCATCCAAGGTGATAAAAATAAATCAGTGGCTCTGTTAGAAACTAGGGTATTCCTGGCTCCTAATCCTTTATTACAGGCACAGGAAACACACAGCCTCCTTATCTGGATGTTCCCAGTCTCTTTCTTTCACCTTTCCCAGGTCTCTCACCAATGCTTTCTCTCCTCAACTCCTTCCCTCTCACACACACCTCGAATGCAAGGTCTGTTATGCAAGTGCTCTGGGATATGAGAAAACCAAGCTGGAGTCATACGAGTGAGAGAGCTAGTTCTGCATGAGTGATAGGAAACAGAATAAGATAGTGATTTGTCTTTGTGACACAGGGAGCCTTCTACTTCCAGACCAGCTCCATAGAGAAAGTATGTGCCTAGATTCAAAGAGGACCACATATCACGTAGTGAAGCGAAGCAGTATCTTCTGTTCCTTAAACCTCTCCCTCCTTTATATACAAAATCCTGTGCTCAGATTCTATAGAATTGGAGGCTTGGGGGACAAAGGAGCGGGAGAAGGGGGAAATGAGTAAAAGGTAGGGAACAAGTTGCTTAAATCAATGCTTTGCATAAAAGCGGACACAAACCAACAAATAACCCTAAAGTTCTTAATGCTGCCATTCTTAGTCACTTTGAGCAGGATGTATTATGCAAAATGCAAGGAAGGTTCTACTCAACATAAATATGAAGGGGAGCATGATGGGGAGTATGAACACTTGTCCAAAGAAAGATAAAGCCTTCTCTTAGACCAGGGATAGGCAAACTTTTTGGCCTGAGGGCCACATCAGCGTTGCGCAACTGTATGGAGGGCCGGGTAGGGAAGGCCGTGCCTCCCCAAACAGCGTGGCCCCTGCCCCCATCCACCCCCTCCCACTTTACATACCCCTCAGAACCCCCGACCCATCCAACCCCCTGCTCTGCTCCTTGACCCCGACTGCCCCCTCCCAGGACCCCTGCCCCTAACTGCCCCCCCTACTCCCCATCCCCTGATCGCCCCCCCCAGAATCTCCACCCCATCCAACCGCCCCCTGCTCCCTGTCCCCTGTCTGTCCCTCGGGACCCCCTGCCCCTTATCCAACCCCCTTACCCTGCCAGAGCCAGCCACTCTGCCCGACAGGAGCGGCGAGCCAGAGTGTTGTCAGTGCGGCGGCATAGCTGTGGAGGAGGGAGCACAGCAAGGGAGGGGGCGGAGTAGCCTCCCCGGCCGAGAGCTCAGGGGCCGGGTAGGACGGTCCCACGGGCCGGATGTGGCCCACGGGCCGTAGTTTGCTGTCTTAGACACATGCAGCCCCCAAAACTAGGCAAGTACTTAACACAGAAGAATATTACAGATTAGCCATTTTTGGGAAATAATTTTGTAGCTGAGTCAAATTCAACAGGATCCTCATTTCAGTTCAGATTTTACTCTGGTACACCACACAGTCTTAAGTTCACATCAGACATTAAGAAGTCAACATTTATCAACATATGTTGGTACATGATACACCCCAGGTTTCCTCTATATACTACTTAGAATAGGAAATAACTACAGTATCTCAGATAATACTGCATGATAACTTTTGGCAGCTGCTGAGCGTTTAAATAGTGCCCATTTGCGATAGAGGATTCAAATATTAATTGCTGATAGAACAGCTTGAGAGATCATATCCCAATTGGTACGTCAAGACACACCAAGTAATATTCAAAATACTGTTCTTATTACTATCTTTAACAATCAGTAGAAAATGAGGATCATTTTCTTATTACCAGAGTCTCGCTCCATTTATTCCTCTTTAAACCCTAAATTACTTTGAGCTGGTTTAACTTGTATCAAATTCACACATAGAAAAACACACATTTTTCCAACTCCTTCAGAAATTTTAGATTCTCCTCCATGTTAAATTAAGTGCTGTGTATTCAGCTACCATTTCCTAGAGGCACTATGGTAATACAAATCTACTAAAAATAATAAATACACATGGAGTAAGTTACTCCATACATGAGTTAGTACATTGCTTATGCAGAACCCAGCACAGTAGGACCCTATTTTTCCTTAATGCATAAATAAGTAAAAGCACACTCAAGATTTGCCTTAAACCACAACTGCTGCAAGAGGCTAGCATGCTAGATCCATCTTGTAAATTTGATTTAATTGTGAATGGTAGAGTGAATAATCTGAGCTCAACAACAAGCCTGATTACACATGAACAGCTACCCAGACTCCTCAATACTGCCACCTTCTACTTTGCTGCACCAGAAACAGTATATGGAAGATAATTCAAAGAGGACAGAAATGCTCACTGTAATACCATAATATTAAATTTTCCATAGAAATGTTAATCGTTTGAGGATATCAAATGACTTCCCAGACATGTATTAAATCTTTAAAACCATGTGATGTAGGTAGTGGTATTATACACATTTCTCAAATGAATTAACTGAGATCCAAGACGCTTAAATGACTTGTCAGCGTTTGGACAGCCGGCTACAGACAGAGCTGGGAATGGAACTCAAGATGCTTAATGCCCACTCTATCTACTACACAACATTCCCACGCTCAGCTTAAGACACCACTTCTAAAATACCCACCCACATTGAATTAACATACATGTTTATGATTCCTTTACCATACTCTCGTCTGGATTGATTGACTGATTTGTGAGTGTACAAAAGAACTTAAGGGAGTTAGGAGCTCAACTCCCATTGGCAGACTAAGAAGCTCTCATGAAATCCAGGGAAGATTCACTACTGAAGATAGCAATTAGGGAAATTCACGGGATGCTGCACTGAGGAGGGATGCTGCTCTGCAAGAGTATTCCCTTAGGAATGATACTTACTTGGACTTGGCAACAACAAGGATGTCTGTGAAGAGGAAAAGGTGCCGTTCCTGGGTCTGAAGGCCCGTCTTCAACTGCACATGACCATCAAGTACAAAGGCTCTGTTGGGGCAGATAAAGGACTGCACGAGGGGACATGCTTCTGGACTGATTGGGGAGAAACAGCTTTCCCTGCAGCAGGAACAAAGGAAAGAAAATCAGCATATCATAGATAACAAAGAATGGCAGAGATTTCCCACACCAATTGCTGTAAAGACAGAACATTTAATTAATTCACAGATGAACTAAAATATTACAGGGACGCTGACTTTTGCTTTGCATAGCTTAGCAGCACTGTCACCCATGCATCTTGTACAGCACCAAGCACATTGTTAGCAATTTAGCAAATAATTTAAAACACAACCCCTGCAACTCTGTATCAGACTATTAACAAAATACTGCACGTATTGTAGGTTCCCCATAAATGAACGTTCCTTGGAGCAGGGAACATCTGAGCAAACCTTTGTGTGTGGGACTTTCAGTATGAGTTTGCAATTTTAGAAAGTTATTCAGAGTCACAGTGACCAATACTGAAAAAATAAACATGAATCAATCAGGTCAGGATGTACTAGTGACAGACCATGCAACTTTCAAAGTATGTATAATGTAAGACCTAAACTGCACAGAATTTGGCAGCTTGCCTTTAATACTGTTTTATTAACCAAGTCTAAATTATTTCCCATTGCATTTATCACTCATATCAATAGTTTATGGTCAGATCCTTGTTGTAAATTCATGGCAGAGTTTTCAAACTGATTCAGAAAAGGTCATTTTGCATTGGCTCTTTACAAGTGTAACTCCCTATATATTAATAAAGCCAAGTTTCCATTCCTACAAGATGATGAGTTTCTCCAGGAGGCACTGAGCAGCCTTAGTTCCCAGTGAAGCCAGCAGCGGTTAAAGATATTCAGTACCATTCAGAAGGTGCTCAGCCTCTTGCAAGATATAATTCTATATCTGCTACCCAATCCTGTTGCCACTGCAGAGAACGTGAAATACATGTGATGCAGATAGGGCCTGATTCTCAGCAATGCTGAGCACCTGCAGCTCCCAGTTACTTCAACTGGAATTGAGGGTGCTCAGCACTTTTGAAAAATGCATGCCAAGGTGTGTGGCCTTTTATTTTGCTACGAACAAACGGGGCAGAGCAAAGCAGAAGTAAAGAGTTTTCCGACTAAGCCTGTTCCTGCTCCTATCGAAAGCGATGGCGAACTCCTACTGACGTCAGTGGCAGAAGGATGGACCTTGTAAGAGAACAGCCACAGGAGAGACCGGGAAGAAGAAGACTGCAAGCAGAGAAAGTGTTCTCAAATAAGGTCACAGGCCTTCCCAAATCTCTTGCACAATCTGGCTGCTTCCCTGTGTTTGTAACCCCTTGCCTACACTTGGATTACTTGGAGGGCTTCAGCAGTAATGCTGATTTAGGAAATCCGACAGCTGGTGCTGAAAGGACAAGCACTTTGATCAGCCTAGTGAGCGTGACTCACTTTCACTGATCTGCAAGGAGGCGGTGAGGAGCTGCCAGGGAATGTCCATATTTAGCCTAGTCGTGGCTGAAGACCTGCATTTTTAAAAATCATTCCTTCATTTTTTTGGGAGTTTCCCTCCACTTTCAACTCCCCTCTAGGCAAGGGGGAGAGAGGGAGGAGCAGGAGCTTTAAAAATGAACAATGCAAAAAATTTTTAAAAAGTTACTGTGGGAGTGGGGCCTAATCCTTCCTATGCGGTAGGGGTGTCAAAAGATGCGGGGGTGAGAGAAGAAAGAGCTCACATTAGTATAATGCAACCGTAGGCAGGTCACTATGTGAGTGGGCAAGGTGAGGGAGGATGCAATGAGCCACTCTTCAGCCCCACCTTCTCCCCAGACAGGGGCCAGCCACAGCGTGGCTTGGGAGTGCTGCCAACCCTGCTCCTTCCTAGTGCCCCTATAGGCATTAACTGCCCAAAAAGGGCATGGCCCTATTCACCCTGAACTAGCCAGCTAGCTGGGCAGGCAAGGGGAGCAGGAGAGAATGCTGAACCCTCTCCAAGGGCTGTGCCAGCATGGGCTGCTCAGGAGCCCCCTGAAGTAATGGTAGCTAAGCCAGAATTCCTTCTCAGGGTCAGAGCTGCAGCACAGCACACCCTCTCCAGTAATACTGAAGGGTGTCAAGGGCACCCAGTAAGGGACCAATCTCCTTACCCGTCAAACACTTAGCACAGCGGTTCCCAACCCTTATCCAGTACTCCTCTCCCATTTCCCCTCCCCCAAACACACACACACACCGACCCCATCTGGTAACAGGGGGAGAGCAAGGTGGCTGCATAGGTGCTGGAACTACAGGTGTTGGGGCTGCTGTCGCACCCCTTGGTTTGAAGTGGTTTCCATCATATGCAGGATTTACAGTTTGGTTGAATGGCTTTCAGCATCCCCAATATACAAATTGTTCCAGCACCCTTGGGTGGCTGTGACCCCTGTTTGTGACCCTTATGTTGAGAAACTCTATCGTAACACAGTACTGAGGGCTCAGTATTGGATTGTATTTAGAACCAGGAGAAGTTATTACCTCAGACACAGGGAGTATCCTCAAGTTGTCACCTAAACAACCACACACCAAGAGTTGTGATATTCCAGGATTTTCAGTCAGGTCAGATCTGAACATTGGGTTAAGCGCTTCAAAACAGGATTTTCACTACTTCAGGGGAAGGCAACTGTGGAAACACTCGAGAACCATTTCATTGACTCCTGTCCTTTGAAGTCCTCGGACTTTGGTTATTCAGCATATTAAAACACTTGCGGCCATGTTCTCAGGGACTCCATTATATAAACTCACTCATCTAGTGTTCAGTCCAGAAAATGAAGCAGAAATGATTAATGCTTTGGGCTGGCGGAGTTCCTCCATCAGGGTGGACGCGATGCAGACGCAACACCCACTTATCTTTGAAGTGAGTAATGACAATTGTTAGAATAAAAACATGCTTTTATGTTATTATAACCAAACCAAACATAAACCTGTGAGGGTATGTCTACACTGCAACTAACCACCTGCAAGTGGCTCATGTCAGCTGATTCAGTCTCGCAGGTCTCGGGCTACAGATGTTCAGGCTCAGGCTTCAGCCGGGCTCTAGAACCCCATGAGGGCAGAGGGTTCCAGAGCACGGGCTCCAGCCTGAGCCCGAATATCTACACTGCACTTAAACAGCCCCGTAGCCTGAGTCAGCTGACAGGCCTAGCTGTGGGCATTTAATTGCAGTGTAGACATACCCTTAGGGGAATGCAGAAACTGAAATGCAAACCTGGGCTCAGACTCAGACTTGAGCCCAAATTCCCATTCCATCCACATACATATCTCTGACTCTGGCTCGGACCCTGTGGGGGTGGAGGATTTGAGCCAGAGTCAAGCCAGTCAATATCCAATATTCGAGCCCTATTACTTTACACTGTAAATGCAGCCCCCTCCAACGCAGGTCCTGGGAGTCTACCAAAAGTATCCCACAGTCTTATGGGTCAACTTCCTTTGCCCTCTCTATACCTCTCAGAAGCTGGCTGGGTTATAAATTAACTGGTTCAGTGACCAATGTAGGGACCAGATTAAGTGGCTCAAGACTGAGTACCGGAAAACCAGGGACCGGAACTGCACCTCGGGCAACTTGCCCACCTCTAGTCCATGAAAATCATACATAACTGAAGCCCTTTACAAAGGTAGGTAAGAATTATTCCTATTTAATCTATAAATGAATCTAAGGCACCCTTCAGGATCAGGCTTGTATGGCTCAATATGGGCAAGATGCATTTTGATCATTGTAGTGGAATGACCACCACCTCAGATTCAGAAACCAGAGAACTTCCCAAATCACAATACGGCATAGTAGCAAAAAACTCCATCATGCAGGTAAACAGAAAGTTCTATTAGGCATGTCAATGCTGTTGGAGGTCAGGCAGATTATATTTGTTTCTAGTTTGAAGACATGCAAAAACCTAAGCTATTTATCCAAATGGGACCTGCACGTTGACTATCATGGCTCTTTTTCACCCAATCAGCGTTCCCACATGCTGCAACACTGCTTACCAGTGGCACTAAACAAAGGTGACATTCTTTGAAAACAAAGAAAAATCAAAGACATTACTTTCAATTGGCCCCTTATAACCAAAAGCCCCACTGACCAACGATAGCGAGGGAACGGAAAACTCTCCAGCATTGACACAAATATCTTTTGGAAAGTAATTTTTGATCCATATAGTTGAACTGTTCCTGTTACAGGAGATGAATGAAACCAAAGTTCCACTGTACTGGCATTCTTTCATGTCAGAAAATCATTAAAATACACAGATTAACTATACTTGTAGGCCTAAATTTTCTTAAATGAGTGGTTATTTTGGACCCTCAGTTTTTGGTTGATCAGCTTGGTACACCTTGGAATGCTCATCTCTGAAAATTAGGCTACTTTTAATAGACTTACTCAAAAATCACTGATCACTTTTCAATGAGGGCATTATTGCTTTCTTGGTAGATCAATGGCTGAGAATTATTTTAAAAAGACTTTTCCCCTGTTCTTTTACAAATTATTTTATGACTGGTTACTTTTATTACTACAGTTTTTTAAAAAATAATAGAATAGTCAACTTTCTAGTAATCTGTTTGGCAGACAAATTCTGTTTACTGCAATATCCAATTCCATTTTTCCTAGAAAGATATCCTTCAAAGAGAACATCTAAACTTGTTTCTCTTTGTGTAGCATTGCTTCTGTAATGCTATTGTTAAGGTTCAGATGGCATTTCCATTCTAACTCTCTATTGTCAGTTGCTTATTACTTTCAAAACATATCTTTGCAGCAGAAATTTCCAAAGCATGTTCTTAGTCAAGAGGTGAACTTTGCTGCAAAGTTTGAAGAAAGTCCACAAAGCTGTTCTTTGAATTATTCAAGGATGAATTCAAATGATGGGGTGAAATCCTGGCCCCACTGAAGTTAATGGACATTTTTCCATTGGCTTCAGGACAGCCTGGATTTCACTTGCTATTTTTAAATGAATCAAAATATGCACCTGTTCAGCATCATTTTAAAGAGCTTTACAATCTGAGGTGTAGGGGCTACTCAGAGTCAGCATGAAGAATCAGCTAACTGTTGAAAGATACAATGACATTGCACTCAGT